GTCTTGAGTAGGAGTACCAGTAGTAGAAGTACTATTGTGATGGATGGCATCAACAATTACACATCTAGATAGAGCATCAGGAACAACATTATCTTTCCCACGACGGTGCTCGACCTCGAAATTGAACGAGGAGAGACGAACACCCCATCTAGCCAATCGTCCAGTTGGGTTTGATAGCGACATAAACCATTTAAGTGCAGAATGGTCAGTAAAAACCTTAAACGTCTTACCGTTTTCAAGGTAACATCGCCAATGTTCAAGTGCAACTAACACTGCGAGTGCTTCACGCTCAGTAGTACTATAATTTCTTTCAGGCCCTGTAAGAGATCGACTCATATATGCAATAGGATGTTCAATACCATGAATAGTTTGCGCCAACATGGCACCAACTCCGAAGTTACTGGCGTCAGTATGCACCTCAAATGGGCACTCAAAATTAGGACAAGCCAACACTGGTGCTTGTACCAAACGGGTCTTTAAATCTAGGAATGATTTTTCGGCATCAGATGTCCAGCAAAATGCTGGAGCATTTTTTTTAGTTGAAGTGAGTCTATTTAATGGGCCTGCAACTGTGCTAAACTGTGGTATAAAGCGCCTATACCATGATGCAGTTCCGAGGAAACGCTTAACCTCTTTTTTAGTGGTCGGAGTTGGATAGTCAAGTATAGCTTTTACTTTTTCGGGGTCAGTTCTTAAACCCTGTGCATCAACGACGTAACCGAGATATTTTAATTCACTTCTAAAAAATTTGCTCTTTTCGAGATTGATGGTGAGATTTGCAGAGCTAAGTTTTTCAAAAACACGGTTAAGTAGGCAGACGTGCTCTTCGAAAGTCTCGCTAATGACTATGACGTCATCAAGGTAACAGAATACCTTACATTCAAATTCGGGGCCGAAGAGAAGATCTACTAGTCTTTGTTGAGTAGCTGGTGCATTGGTAAGTCCAAAAGCAGTTGTCTTGAACATAAAAGTGCCTCGCCCAGGAACATAGAATGCGGTCTTCTCACGATCCGGTTCATCAATCAATATTTGCCAAAATGCCTTAGATAAATCTATACTAGATAAGAATTTAGCATCCTTAAGGTTATCCAGAATTTCAGATACATATGGCAAATTATACGCGTCTTTTTTAGTTACAGCGTTTAATTTTCTACTATCTAGACAAAAACGAGGCTTACCATCCTTTTTACCAACTACCAATACCGGAGATGACCATGGACTCTCACAAGGCACAATTACGTCCAGAGCCAACATTTCGTCAACCTGTTCGGTGATGACCCTAACTTTATCTGGCGACATTCGATAATAACGCTGTCGAATTGGCTCTGCATTACCAGTGTTAATGCGGTGTGTTATTAAATTAGTCCTACCCAGACCTCTCTCAGCAAAAGATATGCTTTGAAATTTCTTGATTGTATCATCAGCAATTAACTTTTGAGATTCATCAAGGTTTTCGTAAGAGTGTAAATGTAAGTCGGAGTCATTAACAAGAACAGACAAGCCAGGGTCGCCCGTAAACAGGTTACCGGCATTACTTAGATATTTTGGACATATTTTAAAAATTTTCCAGAAATCGATGCCCAATATTAGCATGGTCTCGATTTTAGGGATAACATGCGCCTTAATTATAGAAAATTTGTTCTCGAAAGTTATCGGCAAAAGTATGTACCCAATTGAAGATATTCTATGGCCTCCTGCCGCAGTAACAGTAATTTCGTGACCAGAACACAGTGTTAGACCCAACTTTAGCAATGGAATATGGGATCCGTTACCTAAGATGGATACTGAGGAACCAGAATCAAGTAAGCCGTACATACTAAGCATATTACTCCCAACAGAAACTTTAGCATATGGACGTGGATCCTCTCTCGGTTTTTCATTGAAAATTGCAGAAACAGATGAAGAATAGGATGAAAAAAAAATTTTGAGGTAAAGTAACCAATCATTCCATTCCGAGTTATTGAAATGATTTATTTTTCTGCAATTTTCAGTTAAGCGTTTTTTGAAACAGAATTAGAACTAGAATTAGAGGGTACTCTCCCGCATTTTACACAATCTGGTTTACGAACACCCTTCTCACCACAACCAAAACAAAAAATCGTACGCTCTGCAGTGCAGTTCTTCATAGAATGAGTATTGACGCGACAACGAAAACAATATGGTGTAGAAATCGCTGAAGCTCTAAATTCTGAAGGTCTAGTTTGAACATGATTTCTGTAAGACTTCGATGAATTTTGAGAACTACCTGGCTCTTGAAAAATTTTATTATATTCTTTGTGTTTATACGGCTGATAACAAAATTCGGGAGCCAGCATTTTAGAATTTAGTAGAGGTGGTTGGCGATAACTATCTGAGCGGACTTTAATACGTTCATAGTTCTTACAAATATCACGCAAATCTTGAATCGATTTAATATTAGGGCTAGCAGCAATTATATTAGAGTAGCTGGGATGAATATTATGCAAAATAATTTCCAGTTTATCTTCATTTGATAGTGGTTTGCTAAGCCGAGAAAACATACCCTCCATAATCGATAAATAAACGACAATACCTTCATTGTCCCCCTGGGTCCTGTCGCGAATTTCAGCTGTCATTCTATAATCGTAATCTGGGATGTCAAAGGCTTCTTTGAGGTGAGATATTAGGGATAACCAATCATGACAGATGCCATTGACTCCGCGATACCAGTGTAAAGCATCGCCAATAAATATGTCAATCGCAAACTGACGCATTTTAGATTCTGAGACACCCTTTGATATACGAAATTCTTCAACCTTCTGAATGAATGCGCGGACACATGTTTTACCGTCATACTTTAACTTAGAAAGTTCACTCACTACGCCACGCTCACATGTGACAGAAATATTTAATCCAGTAGTATTAAAATTACCTACGTCGTCGGTCTCCGACGCCGATACTGAAGCCTTAGGCAAGCTCTCAGTTTCACTAGAGGTCTTAGAAAAACTCATTGCATCACTATAATATTTGTCGAAATTCTTTTGAATCTTTGACAGTAAAGTAACATCTTCAAGTTTGTCAGATTTTGTTATTCTTTGAATTCTATAATATAAATGATGCAATAATGATTTAGTTCTATCATAAAGAGAATCATTGTAAGCAGATTTAAGGCTATCTATGTTAAATTTAACCTTTTCCAAAGTCTCTGTACAACCTTTGATATCTTCAGAAAAGTCAAAAACAGAATCCAAAATTTCATCTGATGGATATAACTGAATTAGTTTTGTTACCTGTCGCCTTAGCCCTGCCACGTTATCAGAAGGTGATTCACCACGTATCGAAACCTCATAGCTAAGTTCAGATTTTTGCAATAGCAAAAATTTAATTGTATATGCCATTTAAAAAAAAATCAAAAAGACTAGGTACGTTGTGCAAATGATTAAAAGGAAACAATATTCTAGAAAGCAAGTAGTACAATACACAATCAATTATGCCTATTCCGTTCTGTTACATGAATCAACTGTTTTACTGAACGAAAGCGTTTTATTAATAAAAAAATGTTGTTAATAGTAATGCGTAGCGTAAAAAATGTTATATAAGAAATAGATCGAGAAAATAAAAAATAAAAAAAAAACAAAAGATATTTCAACTTGTGCGAATAAATGAATTTGTGAGAAAATTATCCGCTAGGTAGGTATTCCTATAATAAAGACGTTAACATTAAAAACAAAAAAATAAAAATGACAATATTTTATATTCACCTTCAAGTAATCACACAAGTTGATGAAACACAATCGTTTTACAAAAAACAACTCACCAAACTAACCCAACACCTCTATACCAAACTAAACAGTAAGCAGAATATGAAAAATCAGTTCAAGCTATGACCTCTAAACCACGTATAGGGGCGCCACTGTCACGTTTATCTTGTGTCATATATATTTAAAAGACAAAATAAAAAGACAAAGAAAAACGCAGCAAATATAATTAACTTTGTTTTTTTTATTAAAAAAAATATATATATAAAAGAAGGTAGAACTCGGGTTGGGTCCTAAAGCCAGGTCACAGCTTAAACGACAGTCCACTCTGTCCCATAAATACCACTCTCCTTGGTCTATTCTTTTAAGCGTCCAGCTTCTTTTCGTTGCGTAGTACAAAGCGAGGTTATTAGTTGCCGTAGTAGATACTAGATCAGCTCGAGTAGTAGTGGATGATCTTAATCGAAGCGAAGCTCGAAGCACGAATAATTAGCGGTAGTAGGTAGGAATAACACAAGCAGTAGTGGTCAGCTGGCTTGGCTTGGCTTGAACTCCTACGAAGCTCCTGAAATCGTACCGTATAGATGGTTTACGATTTATACTGACAGGCTTTAATCGACCTAAGGACTGTGAAGCATTATAGGAAAACTGAATAAGCTAGTAAAAAGGCGTAAGAAAGTGTAGGTGGTTAAAGCAGCTTGAATGATTTATTCAGAACGGTAGCCAGTCAAATGTAATGATGAAACTAGTAACTAAGCTTAAGAAACAAAATACAACTTAATGCGGGACTAATGATTACTCATTATTATCTATAATTTAAAGATAATAGCAAAAAAATATTAACCTATTAAAAAATAATGAAACCACCTACATATAGGTAATATACAACGGTACATACTAAATTCACTCGCTTCTCAATTACAATAAGCATTATCTTGGTAGTACGCAGACGATACCAACATTTAAACTTCACCATTTAACATAGTTACTACTTAATAAAAGAATTTGCACAACTTACCCAGTATGGGAATATAAAACACTTGAACTTAAACTTTATAAGTACACAGCTTTCGGTAATACTGTAATAATACTAAGAGTACTCTGGACAGGAAACAAATACAGTTCGATAATTATTTTACAGCAATAACTAATAAGAAAATCGAAAACGTTAAATACGTTGCGTTCAAAATTCAACTTTTAGTTAGTGAGACGGTTAGTCGTCTTGTGACCGCTCAGTTTGCTATCAGCGGCGAGCCAGAACCGGCTTGCATTTATTACCTACAGTATTAGCGATGCGTCGAGTCACAAACAAGCGCAGTAAAACCATTGCGAAAGAACGTAGAAATTGAAGGTTCCGTCTAACATATAACGAATATATCTTTTCTATGATTATACAAAACTTTCTTATTTTTTTTTTAATATTGAATATTTATAATTTATTTTATTATTAAAAAATATTTAATAATTATATTTTTTTTTTAAATTATCTCGTGTTGAAAATTGATAATGTAATAATGTAATGTATTATACACTACGTTACAGTGCGGCGATTGTTGTCGAGTCGGATTGCTTCAATTATCATGCCGAATATTAGACTGACTGACCTTGGAAGTTGTATTTCACACCTATGGTCATTGTGTTAGGGTTCGTTATTAATTTAATAGAACATTCATTGGCACGTCTGCTCTGCGTAAACAAATATTTATATTAGAATTTACTGCCAATTTAACAAATGAACACATACGGTTCATGGTGTTTCTTCATTGCCACAACGCGTTTTGATCGAATAGCATGTCAGCTACGACACAGTTTCGCTATGTGGTTATTCGGCGAGTGTCACAACGCGTTGGGAACTGTTTTTTTGCGCAATGAGCGATTTCGATCTTTGAGCGTAACATATATAGGTATCTTTTATAAATACAAATTCGTTTGTTTAAAAAATGAGTAAGAATCTAAATCGTGCGCAGTCGATCGACATATCCGAAGACAACGCGTCGGTGGAAAGCGACCAGAAGGTGAAGAGGCCGGCGGCGAGGGAGAGAAGGGGCAGCGAGGGCGGGGCGAGTGCGGTGGGCGGGGCGAGTGGGCCGGGCGGGGAGGGGGCGTGGCGCGCGACGGGCGAGTGGGTGGCGGCGTGGCGCGGCAAGTTGCCGCTGCAGACCATCATGCGGCTGCTGCAAGTGCTCGTGCCGCAGGTCGAGAAGATCTGCATCGACAAGTCAGTACACCCACACCCGATACAACGTACACAATGGGAATGATAGTGATGAATGAGCGTTTAAAGTTCGAGACATTGTAAACCGCCCCTTTAAGCAAAGTATCGTCGCTAACCCACCTAACTGTAATCCACAGCAAGCATAATGGACTGTATAAAATTTTAATAAGATAACTTTTAGCAAAGAAAAAGATTTATTAATGAACAACGTACAAAAACACAAGATACCAGAACAAACCAAAACGCATTGACAAAGTCAAAAGGTAAAAAAAATAAATTAATCAAAAATAAGTATAAAAGCCTCCTTAAAGCGGCCAGTAATAATATATCAAAACCTGGTAAGGCTGTCGGCAACACTAACTGTTTCTATGCAAACTCCTTCATAGGAAACGTTGCATTTTAAAGTTTATTTAACTTAACAAAGATGTCGTCAAAAGTAAAGCATACCTCCTTTTTGGTTAGTGACATTGTCATTCTCAACGTGCGAAATGTAGTAGAAGTTTGTATAGGGGATTAAAATGTTACCATAGGAACGATTGTTTACTATTTAATTTGACATTGTAATAGGGATGATGACAATTTTTTTTTGTTTGTCCATCCGGAAGATTGTTGAAAAATATTAAACCGGTATTTTTATCGTAATCGTTAAATTACAGCGATACATTAAGTTAAAATGTCACAAAACACTCACGCTTTTGTACATTTTCTACAAAACAGACGTAGCGAGCCCCCACTCCTCAACTTTAATGCCTGTTAGCTAAACTTTTTTCGTTAAATTCAATTAAAAAATAACTACGCATCTAATAATTTATTTCTTTTAACCCAGTCGTCATCCCTATTATATCCGTGTCATGATATGGATCGATATCCAAATCAACAGTTCCCTAGGGACATCCGAGCATATATTATAGGTCGCTATCCCTTCTCATACAACAAAACGCAAATACAGAAATGTATGGTGGCGATACGAAGCGAAATAAGGTGGACTAAACGTCTTCACACATTGCAAATCAATGACATGTGATATTAATATAATGAGGAAGTATTAAAAAAAAGAAAGCACTAAAAGGCATCTCACTAGATGGCGACTCTAGCAAAAGTTGATTTTTGCAGGAAACTAATGGACCAAAGATAGCCATTTCTGTTCCTATATATAACATAACATATGGAAAAACTGAAAATTGCAAAGTTCTAAACTTAGATATCAATACAAATACCTAAAAGTACAAATAGAATATGAGTTGTTTATTGAGTTTTGAAAACTAATTTACTTTTAAATATGAAAGCAAACCGGAAGGGTTGTCATGGAGAAAACAAGAAAGTACCGTAGCGACATCTAGTTTGTTTTTGTTTTTTTAATTCTTCCTCATTCTGACAATTAGGTTTGGTTATTATTATATACGCGTTTGTATATAATGAATTATAAAACTTGTCTTTTTCGCGTTCCATTTTAATAGATGGAAACACCTTAACGCTCATATAATACTTGTGTCTTTGTCATTGTTTTTTACACTATATACTCATTGAAATAGAATTTATTTATTTATTCAACAAAGTTTCAACAGCAGTTTAGTTATTTCTATACAAAAATAAGTATGCAGCATTGACGCCAATTATAGAAACTTATTATGTTTACAAATCTTATTAATTATATAATCATTTTTTTTTTTCTATTTATTTGTGTAAACAAACAGTTACAAAGTAATTACAATATGTAATTACTTTGTAACTGTTTGTTTACCCAAACAAAGACAAAGTAATTACAATAAATAGAAAAAAGAAAAAAATAATCATAATGAGTTGACAAAGAAAATATATGTATTAGACAAAAATATACATATTTATAAATTATATCGCACGACAAATATGGTGTATGTATGTATGTGTGTGTGTGTGTGTGTGTGTGTGTGCATGGATGAGTTTATGTGTTTAAATAAAGTATGCGTAACTAGAACTTCAATTCATAATTACATAATTACGTTATTAACTCTAAAGACGGGGCCGAGTTGAACACACGGCGACCGCGTGTCGAGTGGGTAAGGCAGGCAAAGATACCTACGGTACAGAAGCACATTCTACTGTCTGGCTTACATGGCGCAAATAACAACAACTCAAACAGACAATGGCTCGTTAAGAATTATTAATTAAATTAACTCGATTAGGTATAAATAATAATAATCATAACAATAATAATAACAATCATAATAACAAAAAATAATAACAGTAATAGAATTAATTATCATCTCAATTCATGACGATCCGCACTGACAGATCTGACCAAAGCGGCCCTAAATGCATTTCTGGACATAGAGAAAAGGTCAATTCCGGAAAAGCATTTATTGTAAGTTCTAGGTAATCTGACTGTCATGTCATTAGCCTCATAGTTTGTTCTTACAAGGGGTATATGACATAGTTCCGTGTGTCGCGACCGTTTCGTTGGTGCATTCAAAGACACCATTCTGTTAATTAACCCGATGCAATCTAATTGTCCCGAATAGATATCGTAAAGAGTTATAACATTTGTAAGTGGTATGGGGTTTGTTATACGAACATTATTATAAAATCCGCTTCAGTTACATACATAAGTGTACACTATTTGATTTGATTAAAATATAAATGTATGACAAAGTATCCAATATCTGTGCCACACAACGTGAAACACCTATGTAATTAAATAAGTATATATCTTGGGTTAACAATAAAAGACACGTTTAACTAAATGTGACACACCTCTCCTAATCCCAGGCAACTCGGGCTCACTATAATACACAGCCTTCATATCGCGTACCCCTAACAATGAATCTGTAAGTGCCCTTCGGCCGACTGTTAGAACTGACACATTATGACGTGAGTGTCCCGTAACTCGCAGGGGCCTAACGGACGAGTCTGAGATCCTGCGGTTCCTGCAGCACGGCACGCTGGTGGGGCTGCTGCCGGTCCCCCATCCCATCCTGATCCGCAAGTACCAGGCCAACCAGGGCACGGCCGCCTGGTTCCGCACCTACATGTGGGGCGTCATATATATACGGTACGTACAAATCTGGGTACACATACAACTGGCACAGAATATATATCGTTTGTTATTATATGACGATGTTAGTCGCTAGATTTACTTAATTCTAGATCTTTTTAATTATTCCTCTGATGTCGATAATTTACGTCATTTTCATTTGCAAATACTTAACGCAGAGAGTTCTTAACCTGTTTGTTTCATAACATAATAAAGTAAATCGGAATGCACATCATAGACAATTTTATTGAACTTGACAGACAATTCAAATTACGTAGCAACATCTACTTTGAATTCGAGAACCTTTTTTTATTAGTGAGGAAGTTTTACAAAATAACATTAGTTCTCGAAATCAAACTAGATGTCGCTACGATACGTTATTGATTTATCCATGACAACCCTTCCGGTTTTCTTTCATGTATAAAAGTAAATTAATTTTCAAAACTGAATAAACAACTCATATTCTATCTGTACTTTTTCGTATTTGTATTGATATCTAAGTTTAGAACTTTAAAAATTTCAGTTTTTTTAATATGTTATCCAAAAGGAACGGAAATTACTCTCTTTGGTCCATTCGTTTCTTGGAAAAATAAATTTTACTAGAGTCGCCATCTACTGGAGGTGCTTTTTAGTGCTTTCTTTTTTTTTAATACTTCCTCATTGCTCTTTCATGTTTCCATATTGCTTAGTGTAATTGAATGGTATTATTACAGTAACGTGGACCCGCCCATCTGGTACGACACGGACGTGAAACTATTCGAGATACAGCGAGTCTGATAGAGCACGCTCATAGACCATCATTTAAGTCAATGGTTCTAACCTAACCTATCCTCTGTGTGATAATACGGCATTCTACTCTGATTGAAAAAGTACTTGTAAGTGTTTATTTTTATTTATATAAGCCACAACATAAATATTTCGGAAAAATAAACATATTTTCCTTTTTTGGTTAAAACTGCTATTCAGTGGTGGTAACAATGAATCTGATAATTAAGATTAAATTTGAGTAAAGAATAATAAAGCCATCTCAGTGTGGAGCATGATTTTAAGACGTGCTTTAAGTGACACAAAACCTAACATTAAAAACCGGTCAATGCGAAGCGATAGTAACCATCACTTCATTAATAGAGATATCTGTATTTTATTGTATTTTAAGGTTGAGTAACAGTAAGGAGAAGGTTGGGAACCACTGTCTAAACAAACTGTTATTATACAGTAGAGTAAATCACCCATTAAAGATTTTATAAAGAACGTTTAAACACTGTATAGATTAGTAGAACTAGAAAAATATGAAACGATGCCTTCTTCAGGATTAAGTTAATTAAAATATTATCGCACATAATAATAAATTAGATTTTGAACTGGGTGAATTTAGAACTTATGTCTTTATAATATGATATACATTGTTATTTTAACTGAAGTACCTATTTAAAATAGAATTAATAATATTTTTCTTCGACAGAGGAGAACTTGTTACCGACTCATCTTTTACTGTTACAGTCATTGTCAAATTATTTGAGTTATTTAACTGAATGTTAATACTAAAATTTATATTAAATCGCAGCGAACTGGTTAAAGCAACCGCTCAATTGGGCAGCCTTTTTAGTGAATGACGTTATTCAGATGTACATATAGCTGCTCTTCGGGTTACCACGGTATCTCATGTTTCCCCAATTCATTTTGTATTCTACCAACAATGCATTAAGGTTTAAAATCAAGTGGAGAAAATTGACAGTTATGTACAGCCCGATTTATGCATCCATTGATATTCAAACTTTCAATAAGACAACCGATTTAAAGCTGTCTTAATATTTGTTAAATATATATTTGTTCTTGAATAATATAACCAGTTGGCTGTGACGTATATATTATAACATAATACTCCAACCGTAACATGCTGCTGAGAATTTTAAAAGAATATAGATTTTTTATAATTCATAATTTATGATAAACTGTATTTGTAATTGCAACAGATGATAATATAACTGCTTTTTCGTAAAAAAAAAATAACAGAATTATAGTGCTTCATGTGATAATCACACATATATTTCACTAATTTTAGTAAAAAGACCAAAGTCTATAGTATTGTAAACATTCGTTTTGCATTTATATAAATTGATAAGTTAGATTTTCTTTATGAAGTTAATTTATAGTTACAATCAATTTAATGTGTGTGTAAACAAAATTAATACAGCAGCCATTTTCACTAAGCAACAGGCGGCGGAGGAGCGCGCTGGATCTCATTTCATACAGGTACCGACATACAAGCTCATTAGTAGCACGATAGAATGCTACTAATGACCATTTGCTCATTAATGGCATGCGTTTCTTGCTAATAATGAGCATGCTTATTTCGAGCATGCTTAAAAATCGACATCCGTTTCAATTTTGAACAGGTTTCCTGCGGCGCGGGTGGAAAGGTGCAGCAAGTTTGAACATGTTTGCTTATTAACATTCGCTTTCTGTAATTTATTATCGAAGTAATAAGGCACACGAGTTCAGGAGTATGCATAAATTAAGCATTTGTGTATAGTGAGAGAGCATGCTCGTTTTGAGCATGCTTTTTTGCCATCAATTTGAATGCCACTAATAAGCATGTCTGTTGGTACCACACCAATGAGAGTTTAGACTTTGAACTTGTTCAGAATTTAAATCTGCGCGTATGTCACGGTATGCGTATGCCAGTCGGGCTCCTCTCGGATGTTATCGATCGGCTCCGCTCGACCAATCCCATATAAAATAGCACATCCCGTTCCACCATTGTTCTAACAAAATATTTTCAGTACTTAACAGTAGATTACACAAATACCGCGAGTAGAAAACTGACTGCGACACAAAAGTCTGGCTATTGGAAAAAAGTAATTATCATTTTTTTAAGTTAATAAATACTGTTTGGGTGTAAAACCGTAAAAGTAGTGAGAGATAGATGAATCAGAATTATTTTATTGTTTTAAAAAATGGATCTATATTATCTGAAGTTAGGATTCGTATCTCGTATATATTATTCTGTACAAATTTTACATTAATTACACATTTTTACAAGGATCGTAGCTACAACTCGACATTTGAATAAAGATATTTTGTCAATGAAAAATAATGCCTATATTAAAATGTTGTTCTTATATGTTCTTATATATTTATAATGATTTAACTTATTAACACAATTTAGTTCTCCCATTTTTTCACCTACCACGTTACTTGAGATTGTATCTAGATGTTATAGAATAATTTTTAGACGTTGAACAACTTCATATGTCATTATCAGAGGTCGGAATTAGGTAGAGTTAGTTATGTACTTGCATCGAAATGTTGATATTAATGTGGACCTTCCCTACAAATGTGGCAACATCGCGCGTATTGGTATTTTGCAACTTTGGACATCCGATGTCATTGATATAAGTTTGGCATCGTCGTGCGTGCAGTAGTTTAAATTGTGTAAAAGTAAATAACTTTTTATTTAAAAAATCACGTGATTTTTTCTACTCTTTAAAATTAATCTCGAGATTTGAGGCATATCCACTTTATTCCTTCGCTGTATGAAATCAGTGTAAGTACATGAATAACTCTACCTAATTCCGACCACTGGTCATTTTAATACGTAACATTATATAGTGATTTATTAAATATCAATAATATTTAATATTTTTAGTTCAATTTTAACATGTCTGCACGTAAGGACACAGTCACGTGGTAAAAACACCTAAAGACGGATAGTCTTTGGTAACTAGATAGTTCCCTCATGCGTAGTGCGGGAGGTATGAAATGAGCCCACAGAAAACTTCCGCACAGCGCGCTTGCCCGACTTGCGGGCCCTGTCGACTATTTAAATTGTTGCTTGTGGGCAGTGTGAAAGTGCTCTAAGTTCTTGTAATGTATGTAGTGACTATTCTTATGTTTCATGCATAGAGGTATTATAGATAGAATAAGATAAACATAGGGCCGCCTGTAAGTAAATGGTTAGAGAAAAAGCGAAAATTGTGGTACTCTTCTGCCTCTCTCTACCGACGCATTTATCTTAAATAACAGCAATAGGGGTGTAGTTTTTTTTTTCATAGAAATATGTAAAAAAAAATCGTTAATATAACAAGTAAAAATTTTTAAATTAATTTAATTTTCAAAATTTTTCGCAAAAATGCCACTCCGGTCATGGCTTCACTATGACGGCACTTTGAAACGAATATCGTTCTACGTATGCATAAAAGTGAATTCTCTAAATTCTGATATGAATAAGAAGGACGTCACGTCACGCGCTGTTTGCGGTCACGTGGCAACAAGCATTAAATATTCGTTTTTTCATAATTAGTTTAAGCAATATCATAAATATAGTAAGCATAAAAGTGTAACTATCGGTAATAATATATTACCACTAAAAAAGTATTTATTTTCGTTTACTGTCTACTCCCGTGAGGTTAAAAAACAGTTCAGCCATCTTAGAGGCACCCTGGTCTTCTCTCTCTTTCTAACCGAAGGACTTCTATCTATAACAACCTCGCATGATTTTGTGGCTGTTTTTAAAATGACAACTAGTCATATTTTAACTTACCGTGTTTCAGCAAATGTAATGTGAAGAGGTTTGTTTGGTGGTGTAAACTAGTTCTTTTTTAATACCAATTTGTATTGCACGTTCATAATACTTATTTTTATATTGTTCGACATAATAATAAGTTTTAGTCTAATATTACTGTACTGCAGAGCGATTCTGTAAAAATCCGAAATTCGAATTCTCTAATCATCATCATCACCAGCCCTTTTATGTCCCCACTGCAGGGGCTCAGGCCTTCCTTATGGATGGTTAAGGAGGATAAGCCATGACCCTCCACGCTGGCCCAATGCGGATTGGAGGGTATTAACGACTGCAAATGCAGCCGGGACCAACGGCTTAACGTGCCTTCCGAAGCACGGAGTAGCTCGAGATAATATATTTTTTGGTCACCCATCCCGTGACCGACCCTTGTGAAAGTTGCTTAACGACTATGATCGTGGGCCGCGGCGCATATCAACTACGCCACCGAGCTGTCCAAATTCACGTCTTTTAATGTAAGAAAATCTATTAATTCCATTGTTGTATAAAAATAGAAAACAATATTGATTCATACGTGTCTCAGATATTCTGTTCCTATATCATTTCGAAACTCACTTCACTTGTGCCACGAAACTTTATTGTCAAATTCAGAGTTAGCGAATGCCGCTTTTGAAGTGAATTCGAATTCAGAATTTTACTGAATCGCAGGGTTGTACTGCACATGGTTATAAAACTGTAAATCGTCGCTCATATAACAATAACGCGTAAGTCGATTATAGGTCATATTACTTTGTATACCTCATTGGATAGTTTTTATAATAATAATATTATATAATCGCAACGGCACACAAGTCAAATATTAAATAAATGTCTATTAAACTAAAGCATAGTTATAATTAATTTATTGAAATTGATGTACAGATTCATGTCTTAAATATTTCATAACTATAATCAGTTCTTATTTTTCCTTGGTAATTCTATATATGCGATTCTTTTTATTTAAGCGACGATATGCTCTAAGTGCATTGTAACTGCAGTGGCTGCGTTTCACTCAATGCGATTGCTGATGGAAACTTATAAAATTTTATCCAAACATTCCCTTGTAAAATGTGAATCCTTCAAATAAGTAAATTTATGTTTTTCTTTTTTTTTTAATGAAACAAATGCGGAAATTGTAATTATAGCAAATTCTACACCTAACTTACTTTAAACGTGATGTATGATTGTAACTGTATTATATATTACATCTTAACTGAATAATATAAATCAATATTGTGATTATACTTTATATTTTATTAGTGCACTGTAAAAACTCTATTGAATGTATATTGAATATCCGAGTTAGGTTTACATTATAATTTAAAAATTCCATCTATTTATGATTTAATGGACATTCAAGATCAATTTATTTTATGATGTCAATTAGAATGAAAGTATTTTTCAAAGGTTGACAATTAAGAAGAGTTTTATTATTTATTGTATCGAATTAGGGATGCAGATTATTTTTAGTGTTTCAGTCAACTATTATTTTATATGAAAACTATATTTTATACTTGAATACGAAAAACATCCCTGTTTTATGATTTAATAAGT